CAGAAATGCCACGAATTTCTCTGACTAAAGCTCATCTGAGACAGACTGACACAAAATGTCAAAATGGATGCTGTGGTCTGTCAAGTCCACCTTTCAAGCTGTTTTTGGAAATAACGGACGTTGTGTTCTCCAAGCCAAAGAAGAAAAGGACCATCCTGATTGTTACCAACGCAAAGGTTAAAAGCCAGCGTCTGTCATGGTATGGAGGTGCGCTAGTGCCAACGACATGGGTAACGTGCACATCTGTATAGGCAGCATTAATGCAGAGGAGTACATATGCTTTTTGGAGCAACATATGCTGCCATCTAGATGACGTCTTTTTCCATGGACTTTCTTGCTTGTTTCAGCAAGATAATGCCAAGCCACATTCTGCATGTGTTACAACAGCATGCCTTCATAGTAAGAGAGAGCAGGTGCTAGACTGGCCTGGCGCATTATGAAGTGCAATATACAACAACAGAGACCCGGACCGTTGAGCAGCTGTGTTATATGAAGAAAGAATGGAATATAAATTCCACTTTCACTACACACAACAACTGGTGCCCTAATATAGTGGCGAAAGGCCACTATAATAATGTACAAATTACAGTACAGTGACACATTTCATTCAAAAACTGAAAACTCAAACATTAAAAAGAAAAAAAGCCACAGAAACTCTGTTTCATCAGTTATAATGAAGACGTCATTGTTTTTTCTGCTACTGTATATGTTTCTTTTAACACACGTACCCTCTCAGTAATTTATTGGGAACTGTTCTAGGTATCAAGGCAGGTAGACTGCTGCAACAAGCTCAGTGGGATTTCAACTCCAGGTTGTGTTCACATTTAACTTGTTTCTGTTTAATTGCTGCTAAATTCTCGTGTAAAACTACATGTGTAAAAGGGGCTAAAGATTTACATTTAAATCACTATTCGCTAGTTAGATAAAGCAATGCTTTAGTATGACTCACCTGCACAGAGTATAAACAATGTTTGCTTAAAAAAAGCCTACTTTTAGGTGATTTTGTAGAAACCAGAAAGTGTAAGGTAGTTTTTGAAAAAAATCCAACCAACCAACCAACCAAAAAATAAATAAAATAAAAAAAATCCCCCTACTCTTAAGCACTCCTTCCAAAGCCAATCACCCAAAACATATGAATGTGCACAACCTGACTAGTCATAACAGGCAGACTCTGAAAAAATGTTGGAAATAGTGGGGGGGGGTGGTCTCGTAAACCTTTACTTCAAAGGTGTGGAAGTTGGAGAATCTTTCTTATGACTACACACACAAATAAGCTAGCTAGCTATACCACCTCATTTGTAAAACATTCCATTCAAAGTCAGGATAGACTAAGCTTCAATGATATTGTAAATTTAATCAAGCAATTTTTATCTGCAGAATTATTGCAATAAACGATATTATCACAACCGAAATTCAGTGACAAAGTATTGCCCATTTTGTCAGCTCCACTTACCATATAGGTGCACTTTGTGGTTCCACAATTACAGACGACCATCTGTTTCTCTGCATACTTTCACTCTGTTCAAAAACAGCCTACAGTCTATAATTGTAGAACTACAAAGTGTACTTATATTAAGTGATGATCATTTTCAATGAGTGCAGATACAAGTTAAATGTACCCAATAATCACTTAGTGTCCTTTATAAAGCAATTTATTTACAAATTTGTTTATAAGTTAGTAATAGATGTTTACATTAATCTCTGAGCTACTGTTGTACATTGTTCAGAGTTTTACTATGAGTAAAATGTAGTAAATGTAACAATAATAGATACTGCTATTTACAAAGTTGGTATGCTGAACAATTGTGAGAATCATGATTTCAACTGTAGGAAAAAAAAGTTGTGTTTCCTATTTAATCAAGAATTGTGCAGCCCTAATACTGACACTGTTTTTGCTAAATAGTGACAAAGTTCAAATCTGTAAAGTACCTAAAATGGTAGAATCTGGTGTATTTGGTCAATACATTGTGGGTCACTCATGCAATTCAACAACAAAAGCATGATGTCATCTGAGCCTAAATTACAATTATCAAAATATTCCCCATCAGTTTCCAATCCCCTATCACAACAATACATATTGCTCAGCCATGACTTATCCTGGCTGGCCAAATTCTTGCTCAACTTGATTCAACGCAAAAGCAAGCTGGGATTTTATAAATCACAGAAACTATGATAATATGAACACTTGCAACTTAAATTTTCCAACAGGACCACAATAACCACCTCCACAAGCTTTCACTTACAGCTGGGAGTACTGTTAACATCAAGTCAACGTTTTGTAAGCCATAGACAACATAGCTTTATGAAACAGACAAAACCACACTGAAATTATACTGCTCTGTAATATTAACACACCAGTTCAATCAACTGGTGAACCCTTGATGTCATATGGCTGAACACTGGCCTGTATTATTTTGGCCAAAAGAACATTTGCTGGATCACATACATTCCTTGATTCATCCAACTGCCAATAGAACCGCTCTGGAATATCTGAGATTGGTCAGTATGCCAAAGCACACAATTATTAGTGTTTGGACAGGCTAATACCACGATAGACAATTGTGTAGCCTTAACAGACAAACAAGTACTCCTCTGAAATTCTGATGAAAATAATTAATTTAAAAAGTCATAGTATAAAAGGCAGATCAAATGGTTTCACATTTGTCCATCCAGCACCCTCACCACATTTTAATTGTTCTATATACTAATATACATAGGACAAGATGTCTAAGCAACATGTAGTGCTTGCTGTGCTTGAAAGCTTCCAAAAGACTTGAAGGAAGAAACTGTAAAGATATCCTAAAAATGGGCAACCACCTGAGAATTTGGAGGTGTTTTGTCTAAAGATGCAGGTGAGAATCCACACATTTGTACAATATCAAACATAATCCACAAATCTTCAAACCATTAAATTTGTTCTTCACAGGATTTGAACAAGGCCTTAATCATCACATTACAAGGCCTACTGGGTATTTATACAGATTGACACTGACTTACCATAAATAAAAAGAATAACTTGCTGCCCAGACACTTAGTTGTTACCATTTAATAGCTGCATTTAATCTAATACTGGCCGTACACTAAATGACTTAAAATCCTAACAGATTTCTAAAATGGAGATTTGGTCTTTTACAGAATTTTCTGCATGTGTGTTGTGAGGACTCGTGAGATGTGTCACACACAACAATTTTAGCTACAAAAAAAAAAGCTCTCTCATTGGTTGTTGCCTGAATCACTTGTTCAGCTACGTCACTGACTGTCTCGCTGGCCCCCGATCACTGCGGAGCCCGAAGGCTCTCAGAAATGTTGTCAGAAGGGGACAAAATTCGGGCTAAAATCTTGTGTAGTACAGGCCCAGTTTAAGTAATGCCACCAGCCTTTCAGAGCACTATTTGGTGATCTAATACTGATCTACATGTGGAGGCAGGGATTCTCTGAACAGACCTGGCTCAACTCTGATCCTGGTGGTCCAATTTCCAAACTATTATACCTGGCCATGATAATCAGACCTCAGTCAACTCAATCAGCCATCATAGAACAAGAGTCAGTCACCCAACTCCACACCTGTGGCAAAGTTCTGATCTGGGTCACTGAGATCAAAGATGAAACAAACAAATAACATAAGAGAAGAAAAAGAATAGGTGCACCTTCTCACTATGCAGCCCACAGAAATAAGAGCAGACTGGACGCATCTCATTCTTCAGAACAGTACTTCATACACTAGTCCCCAGACACCACCAAGCAATCTGCATTTGTGCTCCCATCACACCTGACACAGGTACTGAGAGTTCTTCATTACTTGGATCAGGTGTATTGAGAGCCGGATAAGAGCAAAAATGTGGACCATCTGAGGGTCTCCAAGGACTAGATTAGGAAACACAACCTCACAACACTCAGACCTAATGTTTTCATGTCCTGTAAGACCCCTATTTTTAGCCTTTAAGGCAACTTCTGTTACAATTAAAACAGATTTAGGCTACACACATTTCTTCCCATTTTCTCTTATAATCATGCCTAAGCATTTAAACTGTCTCTGAGCCCTTGGTGATCGTTTTACTTGCTAGATAAAGGGTAAAACACTGGCTGGCTTTACAACAGAAGAGATTTCGTATTTCTTATAACCAGATTAACAGATTCTGACAATACAAGCGATGGCAGACAGAGGACTATAAAAGCGTGGGCTACGTCCTAACAACAAGCCAACTAAGTTGGAGGCTGGGTGGGTGATCAAAATGCATCTTACCTTAACCGGCATGTGTCCTTCATTTTGATATAAACATTTGACATTTACTCTAATAACATTATTGAAGACAGTATGACTGGAGAATGTAGACGGCTAACTGCCTCGCCATTGGTCTAAACAGAAAAACAGTGAACGCTAATGACAAAAACCGGTTACAATAATGACTTAGTAGCTGACATTTACCAGCGGCAACGCAAACGCATAACTAAACTCTGGTCCACCAAACTGATCCCTCCCTTCTACAAGGAAAGCTAACTTTTCCATCGACACACACAGCACAAGTCTGATGGTTATGCCATTCAGTCTGGTGTGATGATACGTTGTTGCTAACCATGTCAGTCTGACCTAGCAGCGAACCAAGTTAGCTAACCCAGCTAAACGTAGAGTGCCTGTCTGCGAGTTAGCTGGCTACACAGGTCAGCTAACGTTAGCTAGTTCGATAACTGCCTCTAATTTTAGATGGCAGCAAGGTGTTCTGCAAACATATAATCAAAGGATAATCTACTAACTATTTCGTTAGCCTCTTAAATTCTACAAATCCAGCAACACAAGTGCTAATTCCAGTCTGTAGGCCACAGATGTTGGCTGTATCAAGCCTGGTTAGCAACAAGCTAACGTTACTGAGCTGAAGTGGCTAGGTTAGCAAACCAACTAATGATGGGTTCCTGCATTGGTAGGTCCAATCCGAACCAGCCTTGTTCCAGATCACGTTACATCGTAAGCCATTTAACAGTAACGTTAAATACTGAACCCTTACCTTTGATGGTGTGATCTTCATTTAAAGTCTCAGAGCCAGTGAGGTAAAGCCCCTTATCCAGCTTCTGTAAGGTTAGCCGCGATACTTCCAATGACTGAGATACCCAAATTTCCAATCCAGATGGAGCTACGTTAGCTAGCTTAGCTGGCTATCTGGCTAAACGTTTCTTATCGCAGCCAACGGGCGTCAAAATGGCAGCCCAGCCTAATTTTCCGAACCTCGATCGTCCTCTGTGAAGCAGCCATGGCCGGTCAGACGTCCCACTTTCGGATTAACAGCGCTGATGGTGCGCTAGCTATCGGACGTTAGCCAGCCAGCTAAGCTAGGTGACTTTAACGAATGTGGCTAAGCAGCTAGCTCGGTTACCGCTGAGCGCACACTCTCATTCCCGCTGGCTCGGGACGGAGCGCGGATTATAACAACACTTAACTTACACGGCGCACAGCTAACAGCGGCGAAACTGCTACGCACAGGTACTGTCGAAACGCGTCTGTATAAAACTAGCACTTTTCCACTAGATTTTATGTTAGTTTTCACAAAATGGCGCGCGTTCGTTCCAGACCTGCGCAGGCAGTGGAGCGGCCCGGCGGAGCGGAGCTGAGCGGAGACACACGGAGGAGAAGAGAACAGAACAGCGTTAGGTAGTTAGCTCGCTCGCTCGGAGGGCTCGGTACCGCCTAACCCGCTCCTCTCACCCTCCGAACGCCCGCTCCGTGGTTTTCTCAGTCGGACACGGTCGGAGAACCTCTCCCCCCGAAGCTGTCACTCGTAAGAACATATGACTGCGTTATTCCGGCGGGAAGCGAAAACATTTGAAAGGTAAAAAAAAAGCCACCGACAAAATGGCGACAGCCTGTGCTGTTACTATGGAAACTGTCAATCAAACAGCAACTTACCCGGATGTAGCAATGACGATTGAAAACAGCGTAAGCCGATGATAACCGTCAGTCAGCGAGATCAGCGGGAGTCCTCAGTCTGGCCTTTAGTAAGTTAAAGCAGTGGTTTACTGGAAAATCAGATTTACACGGTTTCCCCTTTTACTGCAGACGTGTTTGGTATGTCAAGTTTGCTTCTTGAGCTTTGACAGAGATTTCTAGATTCTAGATAGGTAATTCTGGCCTCGTAGCTCCAGTGAAAGACTAAAGAAGCACACTTTGGACACCAAACATGTCTTGGCTGGTCATGTGAAAACTGCACATCTGATTTTTCAGTGAAATATTTCTTTAAGGCAAAATTGAGGTTGTCCAAATAGAAATGTCCCTTACCTCTACTGGACAGACTTTATTTTTCAGGTTATCTGGCTAACTGCCCTGAGAAATAAAAAGCAAGAATACTTGTTGGCGAGAATACTCTGAAAAAGTAGTGATGGCTGTATACTGTATACTGTATACACAGATTAATAACTGATCATCACACTGATTTATCAGTCTACTCAGGCTGTAGCAAAGCTCAGTAACACTGAGATTAATAACTGAGCATCACATTGATTTATCAGTCTGCTCAGGCTGTAGCAGAGCTCAGTAACACTGAGATTGATAACTGATCATCACATAAATTTATCAGTCTACTCAGGCTTTAACAGGAATGTCAGTGTTTGTAAAGAAGCTGTTAATTGAGGTATTCTATAGAGTTAGTCTAAACACATTTGGTACATGCAGTGCACTGATTTTAAATAATAAATGAGCATTATGGTGTTTCTTTTGAAGATTGTATTTTTTATTAGTGGGTAAGTATTCTAAAAATATTCACCTAAAAATGTAAAAAGTAACTGTATTCTGAATACTGCCTTTACAAAATGTAACTTGGACCAAATACAGATGCTTAATTTCTGTATTCTGAATGCATATTCCCAATACTTGTATTCTATTACATCCCTATCTGGAGATAACCACACCCCACAACCACCCCCTCCCTCTCAGTGTACCAGCTGAAGATCTAATAGTCATGAAATTAATAACTAAAGTAGCACCACAATTGGCTACTTTTTCAGGTTAAAGTTAGGGAAACTAAAAACACTAATAAATTCATATTTGAGTAAAATTAAAGATACTACTGAATCCAAATTCAAGCGAAACTTAAACAAGTAAAACTAAAGTCTCTACAAAGACAATGCTCAAGTCAAACTGCTATTTTTCTTAACTTTTTATTGATATTTTAATATTCCATCGTCCACTTACATCTGAATGAAGCTTGTTATGTGCTGTTTATCTTTGTTAAACATCTAAAATAGTATATTAGAGGCTACACACTGATTGCATTATTTATTTAATCTTACTCTTTATTTAAAAAGGAGAAATTTCCTGAAATTTCACTTAGGGGAGTCAATTTTATTCACTGTATTTTTTTAGCTCTCCTCCAGACTGATTAAAGCTCTGATGAGCTACAGCAACTGCTCAGATGGAGACAGTATTTGAAACAGAGGGCACAGAGACTGCCCCTATGAGAAAGAATGCTAATACTTTACTGTAGAGTACTATTCATAAGGTTACATGAAACCTACATAAGCTTCTGACAACTGACATAACCCAACATAAATATTCATAAATGTCTATTCCAATAGGCGTCATCTGTCATAAAGGCTACTTGAGCTAACTTTGATCAAATTTGGGAACTGTAACCTTTATAGTGAATGATGCTGATTGGAATAAGCATGTATAAACATTTATGTAGGGTTATGTGAGTTGTCATAACAAGCTTATGTAGGTGTTCTGTAGCCGTATGAACCCTACAGTACAGTGTTACTGAAAAGAACTGTAAGAAACTATAAGAAAACTTCTATAACATAACACTTCTACAACCCCGTTTCCAAAAAAGTTGGGACGCTGTGCAAAACGTAAATAAAAAGAAAATGCAATGATGTGCAAATAATTTAAACTATTTTTAATCACAAATAGTATAAAGACAACATATTGGATGTTAAAATTTTGAAATTGTATTTAAATATATATATATATATATGCCCATTTTGAATTTGATGCCAGCAACATGTTTCAAAAAAGTTGGGGCGGGGCATGTTTACCACTGTGTTTCATCACCTCTGTAAGCGTTTAGGAACTGAGGAGACCAAGTGTGAAATGAAAGTGAAATTTTTCCCATTCTTGTTTGATATAGGATTTCAGCTGCTCAAAAGTTCGGGGTCTCGGAGTTGTATATTTCATAATGCGCCAAAATGTTTTCAATGGGTGACAGGTCTGGACTGCAGGCAGGCCAGTTCAGCACCCAGACTCTTTTACTACAGAGTTATGCTGTTGTAATACATTGTCTTGCTGAAATAAGCAAGGCCTTCCCTGAAAAAAGATGTTATCTGGATCGCAAAACCTGTTTATATTCTTCAGCATTATTGGTGCCTTCACAGATGTTCAAGTCACCCATGCTATGTGCACTAATGCACTCCCATACCATCACAGATGCTGGCTTTTGAGCTGTGCACTGATAACAAACCGGATGGTCCTTCTCCCCTTTAGGCCAGAGGATTGGGTGTCCATGGTTTCAAAAAACAATTTCAAATTTTGATTTGTTGGACCACAGGACACTTTCCACTTCACATCAGTTAATTTTAAATTAGCTTTGGCCCAGAGAAGGTGGCAGCATTTCTGGATCCTGTTTATATATGGTTTTTCTTTGCATGGTATAGTTTTAACTTGCATTTGTAGATGCAGCGACAATGGTTTTTGGAAGTGTTCGTGAGCCCATGCAGTGATTTCCAAAGCAGAATCATGTCTGTTGTCAATTCAGTGCCACCTCAGGGCCCGAAGATCACAGCCAGCCAAAATTGTTTTTTGACCTTGTCCCTTTCATAAAGAGATTTCTTTGTATTCTCTAAATCTTTAATGATATTATTTACCATAGATGATGAAATCCCAAGTTCTTTGTCATTTTTTGTTGTGGAATGTTATTGAATTGTTGAACTGTTTGTCCAGGCAGTCTTTCACAGAGTAGTGAACCCACTACTACTTCTCAAAGACTCAGCATCTCTGAGATGCTCTTTTAATAAGCAATCATGTTACTGAACTGTTACCTCTTAGTTGTGAGATGTTCCACCAGGTGTTTTTTTAGCATTACACAACTTTATCAGTCTTTTGTTGCCTCTGTCCCAACTTTTTTGAAACACGCTGCTGGCATCAAACATGCTGCTGGTATCATACATTAAAAAAAAAAAAAATTCTCTGTTTTAACATTTGATGTTGTCTTTGAACTAATTTCAATTAAATATATGGTTTAAATGATATAGATACTTCTAAAGGTTGGTGGCACTTTTTGTGTCTGTTCAGTCAAAGACAACAAACTTTTAACACAACCAATGGATTTTTCAATTATTTTGAATACAAAGATATGTTCTGATTACATGGTGGTCACATGCAACCACCAATTAAATTTCATGTATTTTAAATTTTCAGTGAAAATAAATGAAGACATCCTCTACAGAGAACACACTTAAATATGACATTTTCTGCAATTTTTAAGGCACAATTTCTATTTATTTTCTGAATTCTACATTTTTGGAAAAAATAACACAAACTACAAAATGTGCCATAACATTTGCACAGACCACATTTCAAGCAAGGCAAGTTTATTTCTATAGCACAGTTCATGCACAAAGGCAATTCAGTTTGTTTTAAATAAATAAATGCAATAGGAACATCAACAGAAAACATCTAAGCTCTTCTGGCAGTTTATTCCAGATGTATGCAGCGTAACGGCTAAATGCTGCTTCACAGTGTTTAGTTTGGACTCTGGGCTTTACTAGCTGACCTTTATTCATGTATCCATTTATATTCTTTAAACATATCAGACATGTATTCTGGGCCTAAACCATTCAGTGATGTATAGACTATTAGCATCACTTTAAAATCTATTCTATAACTAACAGGAAGTCTATGTTAAGATCTTAGAATCAGAGTAGTGTTTTTAAATTTTTTGCCATTGTGTTAAACTCAGTAAATAAACAGTAATCGTGCATTAAAATGTGCATTGGTGTGTTATCTATAGAGGATATGTTATTTTCACTTTGAAAATCAACAAAATGTGTATTTTGACCAAAAGCACCCATGATTCTTGTGATTCCTATGATCACTACTGTAATGAAGTCTGAGTCAGTAATTTTCTCTACAATAACCCATTTCATATCAATACACTTTCGAAAAAATGGTGGAATTCCCCTTTGACATGCGTGTTCCCCTACCTCTGTCTAGTCTGTTCATTGTCCTGTACAGAAATCTTCACGAAAAGCGATTTTCACATCTTGTCAATAGAATGACTGAAGGCTAGAGGAAAAAAAAAACTCACATTAGCCCTTGCAGTGCTTTTTTACTGTAAATAGTTCAGCTATTCACCTCGCTTATTTAGTACTCAGAGCAGTTTGAATCCTTAATAAAGCACTGACCAAGATCTCCTGCTCTAATGCTCATGCTCATTGAGTCCTGTAAGGCTGCTAAAACAAATCTAATTCACTGTACTTTACAGCACCATGGACAGCGACACAGAGCTATGGAGTAACAGAGAGTATAATGTAATATTTCTCTTTATACTTATAAAGCTTTTCAGTATAGAACAAATGCAGCTGATTTTTTGCTTATAAATGCTTGTTTGCAGCAATTTAGCCCCAAAGCCTCTTCTTCTGAGCACAGTTTGACTGATTCTGCCTAGCATGGACAAGTCCTAAACATCTAATGCATTTTCCCTGTTAGTAGCTGACCTTTCAGCCCATCACTGAAGCAAGTTTTCATGAATTCTCTTTAATTTTTCATGATACAGCACTTCTCACTACACCGGGTTTAAAATCAACTAAACCTTCTTTTCAGTCTTTGTAGTGTCCACTACAGAGCAACCCAGGGTTTATCAAAAAACAGCTTTGAGTCTTCTCTATCCTTACAAGACAACGTTATGGGTCTGAAACAATGTGTAGCTGTCAAGAAGCCATTACTGAGAAAAGTGCTCTCAGAGCAATAAACTGGCCACCCCAGAGTCCAGACCTCAATGTTACTGAATGTGCTTGGCATTATTTGGATCATCAGATCAGAAAATGCAACCAACTTCTAAGACTGAACTTAGGAGGTGTGGAAAAATATCCCTACAGATTTCTTTGAAAAACTGAAAGTCTTTCGAAAAAGAATAGAAGCTGTAATAAAGGGTGGACACACTAAATGCAGATAAATATATATTATTTTTAGTTGTTGAGGCTTCTGCGTAATTATATGTTGAATATCTATTTTCTGCTTTTTTTTTCTTCCCTGATGCAAATTAAATAAATCACAACACTGTAGAAATATATAAACTATATGGCAAAAAGTATGTGGACAACCCTCCTAATTATTGAGATCATGTGTGTCAGCCACACCCACTGCTAACCGATGTATAAAATTAAGCACATAGCCAGGTAACCTCCATACACAAACACTGCAGTAGAGTGGGTCATACTGAACAGTTCAGTGACTTTAAACTCGGCACTGTCACAGGACCCTGTCTTTCGCTGCAGTGAACGCCACAGTGAATGTAAAGTGAACATCTGTGTGTTTTTCTAAAATGTATACTTTATTTGAACAAAGGTACAAAAAAAAAAAACAACAACGGTCAGTATTTACAATACTTGCATGACTGCAGTCGCTCTCTTTGGTCTCACTGGTGGCTTAAATGTAAATAGAAAAGAAACAAGAAATGGATCCTGGCATACAAAGCATCAACATACAGACACAAGAGAAGAATATCACATTTTTAATGCCTGCAAGAGCAAACCTTCAGTAGCAGGTATATTTTTTGGAGAAACCAACCGTGCCTAACCTTTAACAATATAAATAGAACACAAAAATAACAAAACTTTAGCAATATTTACAGCTTTAAAGCATTCACACTAGATTAGTTTCAATTCCGCTGCACAAGAACGGTAAATAATTGGACACAAAGGATTAGGTGATATTTCGTACCGCTACTGTGGCGTGGTTCTAAACAGATCTACAGTTTTGCAGTTTTAACTTATAAGTATTCACATTAGGTACTTAAACAAAGTCTCAAGTAAACAGGAAGGTTACATAGTTCACACATCAAATTATTTTGGCCTTCAAGTCCGCAAGTTCAGACTAGCAGTGAATTACAAATTTGACACATAGTGGCATCACGGGTGGCTTTAACATTTGCTGAGCAAGAGAAACCAGCAGTTGCCATTATTGTGATTTCAGATTCGGAACTAACATCAAGCCTGTTTACTGCGGTCTGAGTCCATATACCCATCTAAAAGTGGAGTGGGAAGCTGAACCAGTAAAACTTGAGTTTTCCAAAAAAACAAACAAAAAAAAACCCAACATATAAGGACATAGTATGTATATGGTTCCATATTCAGCTCTTCAAGTCTTGTTCTATCTCGTAAAGTAGGGATGCACAATGATATCAGAATCATATCTAGATATGATGGCATATATAGAGGCAGATATTTGCCTCAAAAAATACTGGCATCAAACAGATGTTTCAATTTGACTGGTATTTAAAACACATACTTGAGAGGCTACTGTGATACAGTATCTTTTACTCATTTTATATTTTTGCATTTGTAACCTCTGTGTCATTTTTTTCTGTAATGGTAATCTAGGTGGATTTCTGTTTATTTATCTGTATTGCCAGATATGTACATGGGGGCATCTGCAATTCCCATATCTGTGCATCCCTAAATAATGAATCCAGATTCAAGACTGCCCAAACATCCAACACAGAGCATTAAACATTTACATTAATCCTGATTACTGTCTTGTTATCTACATGTAATTTCCTTTATTCAGAATTCAGAATTTAGTTTTATCAGGTAGCCTATAGTTTTAAAGTCCCATGAAAATGCAGATACATGCCCTCTACATGCACTTATTTTAACTTCCAAGAAGTTTTATTTTGTAATCAACATAATCAATACCTATCAAGACAGAACTGAAACTTAACCAAGTGCTCAACAGACTGCAAAAAAACCAAAAAAAAACAGAACTGTTAACAGTAGACGTTATTTAGATAGTACGTGTGATCTGACAAAAATGAGTAAAGCATAGAAAAGAACAGGAAAAACTCAGCAATCTAACTTATTCCAAAATTCAAACAGAGTCACAGTTTAAAGGCTATTTTTCTTACACATGAGGTAAATTGGGCTAAACAAATGGAATCTGCTTTTAATAAACAATCAAAAATAGGAACAGCAACATAATTAACATGTAACATACACAGGTTTTCAAACAGGTACATTATACAGGAAATCCTCAGTGCAGAAGATTCACAACTATACAACAAACATCATTTATAAGGTCTTCCTCTTGGCAGGAGGACAGAGACATACATTATAGACATCGGTTCAGACAATGGTCCATCAGCCAAATGCGATGGCCTACTATCAGCTTTCCGCACATTTGTGCTGATTGTAATACAGTTTGCTACAATACTGCCTCCTCTCCTGAAAAACAAAGACATTACTTCAAAAAAGATTCCACAAGAGCAACAAATGGATTACATGAAACTAACATGTATTCAGAAAAGCCTTTCTCACCCTGAAAGGATCCTTTGGTTTTACACCTCTGCTTTTTGACTCTGATTTTCCTCCAGCTTTTTGCTTTCCTCCAGTGTGCCGTCCTCTTTTTCTCCAGTTTTCCATGTGCCTTGCCTAATCAGAAGGCATAGGTTAGGTTACCCGATAAACCCCTCATGCTAAATACAGACAATACCACCACATTGAAATTATTCTATTTCTGTTCTAAATGAAAGGCTTAAATGTTAGCTATAATGGTACCTGGTTCTCTTCATGTATATCCAGTAAATCAGACCAATAGCCACAGCCGCCAGGATCACGCCTATGATGACCCCCACTGCCACTCGAGTCTGGTCAGTAGAGTCCTCTGCACATGAAACGTGGACGAACATGGTAAATTATTAGCTAGAGCAATATAAGTTTATAGGGCCATGAAAAACTCCAGAATGAAGGCTGATAGAGGTGTTATCCATCAACAAGCAAACAACCATGCAGATATTGTGGACAAATATTAAAACAATGAATATAAAACATTGATGGTTAAAACCGGTTCTGTCAGGATGCTGGGCAGATCAGCGTCCGCTCTTAAAGTACTCCGCATTTCTCAAGACTCAGAATACTGCTTGAACTCAAATAATATTCAAAGCACAAAATGGTATTGTACATTTCTAATATACTATTCTATCAAACAACTACACTATGTGCCCAAAAGCGTACAGACAGTGATTCTAATTAGTAAATGTAAGGTGCACCCACTGCTGACAAGTGTTCAACTGTGCACTCACAGCTTGTATAATCTCCACAGAAAAGCATTGTCAACAGAATAGAATGCTGTGGAGCAGCTGCACGTAAACCTAAGGGCCCAATGCCAAGCGTCAGCTAGAGGAGTATAAAGCCCCCAGAATTATGCGGCGGAGCAGTGGAACTGTACTCTCTGGAGTGATGGAGCACCAGTACCTTTGAGATGAGTTGGAGTGGCAGAACTAATCATCCAACATCAGTACCTGACTTCACTAATGCCCTGGGGGCTGAATGTAATCAAATCCTCACAGCAATATTCCTACATCTAGTGTCCCAGAAGAGTACAGATTGTTACTGCAGCAAACTTAGAAGACATGTTGGACGAGCGGAGTCTACAAACGTTTCGGTATATAGCGTATCTAAGCCCTCTAAACTTATTATAGTTAGAACTGGAAGACGACAACTTGTAGAGTACACATTTGTTGCTGTTTCACAGGAAAATAATCACAAAACCTCTTGAACTCACCTCGCTTGTCCATTGTCACCTCCTCATATACTGCAATCAGATACAAGATCATACGATTTGGGTGTGTTTTTAAAATATTTGAGTTCAAATGCAAATTGTTCATCAATTAGTGAAAGTGAAAATGTTTGTGGAATACTACTGTTCTACTGAAACCCACTATCAATCAATTCCCCTTGATTAAAAATACCCCGGAGATAGTGAATACAGTACTAAAGCGTGCAAGACTGCTCAACTAGCATATACTCTAAAAGCTAAAGCCCCAATCAGGAATTGCTGAAACAGTGCCACCCCAAAAGCAGAGAGTACAATAAACTAGACCTTTTGTTTGAAAGCTTCTGTTATCGGAGTACCAAAGGCTCGTGTGGCAGTTGCAGCGCTTGCTGAACAGGGCACTACAGCTTTTCAAAGCATGCAAAGTGGACAGCATGTGTTCAGAGAAAGAGTCCAGCATCCCGACAAACCAAGAAAAGAAAAGAAAAAGAAAGTGAGAAACTCAAATGGCCATGGATGGATCCAAAAAGATGTCAAACAGAGGCTGTTGTGAAGACCAGTACCAGAATGCACTTTCTGCTGGCGGCTGACTGGAAGAAAGACCTATTTTATTGCTGTCATCTTCTCTCTCAACTTGTAACTTTTCAGGAGAAGGTGAACACCCTAAAACACTTTAATGTCAAAAGTTTGGACACACTTAACTGAATTTTCCTTTTTTTGTAATGTTAAAGATACTTTATTCTAGAGATTGTTGCTTATAAGCAAATGTATAAACAGTGAAGTTGATGCCTGTGCACAAAATTGTTTCCAAAACAAAAATGTTACATTTAAATTTAAAAAATGAAAATACAGTATTGTGGAAAAGTCTTAGGCACCTTAAAACTACTTTTTCATTCACAATGTATCTTAGCAGCAAGTGTTTTTTACTTGTATAAACACTACGTAACAGAATAAATGTGAACAAACGTTAATGCAGTAAGAATTTCTTGCTGTCAAAAGAGTAGTTGGCAGGGTGATTAGAAGTAGTTGTGAGCTGGTTCCAGATTTATCCTCAATGCCCCATCTCATGGATTTGTTCTGATTCAAATTAATAAAGCATTGATTATCCATAATATTTAAATGAGCATTTTTCAAATGGACCCAACAAAGTTTTGTTAAGTAAAAACAAGGTCTCAGCAGGAAAAGTGCTTCTCATGAAGCTTCTTGACAGAACACAAAGAGCATGTAAAGCTGTGTCAAGGCATGCTTTCTGGAAGAATCTAAAACAGAATTAATACTGTTTGCCACTGCTTTAATACTGTTTGGCCACTGAATAACTCCATATGTGTAATTTCACAATTATTCTAAAACGAGGAAAAGTGAGGAATGGCCCTCTATGAGTAGCCTTATGTCCAAACTTTTGACTGGTGTTGTATGTTAATGTAATAAGATTTTATTCTGGATGATTTCTGTTGGTCCTTTGATCATGAAACATTCACATTATGTAAAGGGCAGCTAACATTTTCAAATTGTAAAAAAAAAACAACAGAAAAAAATTGACTTACAAGGTTTTGAGATATGACAGCAATAATTTCAGTTTGTTAAGATTCCTCTTATAGCATTTATCCATCCACGACTATTTGAGAGTCGTATTAAGAACGAACCCGGGAAAAGAGTGCAAGTGCTTTGAGATGTGAAAGGTCCATGAAGCTGTGGAGGAGGACTATACTTACGAGTCGACACGTCAAGGCTCTTTGAGGCTTGGCCTAGATCATTATAAACTGTGCAGTTGACTGTGAGATTGACTGTTGGAATGATGGTGATTCTGTGTGTGATCCTCCCTTCCACATACGGAGTCTCAGTAGCCTGCAATTACAATGTATAGCATGCATTAACTCGTTCAGTACTAAGAGTTAACCCTGTGGTTAGGCTAGTCTTATAATATAGCACATCATTCTTGCACAGTAATACCAATAACAAACAAATGTTAACTGTCACTAGTTAATGCACCATACAGAGTCACACAAATACTGTCACCAAAAACTTAATCTGGCCCTTGTTTTGCAAAACACAGCTGTGATTTCACTGAGCACCACACGAGGGCAGCATAGTACCAATGTGCTACTCTACTGACACTAAATTCACCACTAACACATTCCATTGTCCACCTACCCCTCCCAACACCGATAGAGAAACTAAAGCCCTTTGTATTTGAAATAGATAAGTATGGTTATGTGCTATTATCTGTGCAACAAGACTACTTTGCTCAGACTGCAGCCATTAGTCTAATGCCACAGTATTACAGGGCCTATTAAAAAAGGATGTCTTAAGCCCAGCCGTTCTGCTAAGCGTCACACTGGGCTCATTGTCTTCCTCTGCTCTTTGCATAGGTACTAGACGAGCCAAGATTGTCTGGGTAATGTTCGCTATGACCACATCAATAACAAAGTAATGTCTTGATAAGAATTGATTATGTTGTGATGTCTGAAATAAGACTTTTTGGGACTATGCTCATGACATTTGCTCTGAAATATGCTTATTTTGTCTCAAACAAAATGTGCTCCTTATCTTTGAATATTTCAGTGTCAGAGAGAGATGCTATAAACCTGAGCAGGGACATTCTGTAGCACTAAAAGCGAACACTTTCTGAATGCTCCCTGCAACATATCAATCTTATTTAGAATCCTCTGACTTCAGTGCAGCCTCTAATAAAAAGAAGGCTCACAGAATCTTTTATAAGGTCAAAGCCACATATTGACAAAAGTGGCAGCAGACAGCAGGGTGTGTGGAGTGTTATCGAGTTCACCCTCACATTAGTGCCATTAATGCTCCACTGCACGGTGGGTTTGGGCGAGCCTTCAGCCTCGCAGCTCAGAACCTTGAAATTGCCGTCATTACTGCGCTGCTTGGTCAGCTTGTTGATCACTGGGGCACCTGCAACAAGACCCAACATCCACAAGAATGTGAGACCAGGAGCTTTGCACAGCACATGAGAGGAACTCATTATTACAGATGAAGAGGCACAATCTAAAAAAAACTTTACTTAATGTCCCAGGAAACCCAGTAAAATATTTGTACAATACTAAAATTGAGTGTCTTATCAAACATTCAGCAAAGATGCAATGAGAAGAATAAACAAGATAGAAATATGATAAAACAATGCTTATCACTCCCAGCTTGCTATCCCACTGAAGCAGAACTAACCACACAATAGCACTTGTGGGAACCATTGAGTGAAATGGGCACTACATATGCAGGTGGTGTTGTAGACCCACAGCTCGCTAAAAACATTCTATAGCTTTTATGCAGTGGCGTCTTAAAGAAGGTTCAGACACAGTTTACTGCTTGATGTACATCCAGAGAATGCACACAAAGAATGGTGGCATGGCTGACTGGACAGATAACAGAAAAACAAAGGCAAACAAATGTACAGAATGCTGGCATGACCGGTTGGGCAAATTAACAGACAGACTACAGGCAGACAAACTGATAGATGAGCCACCTGATTAGCTCAGTTATGCTTGCTAGGTTAGCTTATGGTCGTTTGTTTGCGTTTGGGCGCTTGAACAGAGAAAAAGACTGACGAAACAGTTTTGTAGATAAGACAAACCACCTCAGCCTTGTGATTGATCAAAGTAATGCTTACACAAGCTATGCCCAAGATTAGCAACAGTTACCCAAGATTAGGACCCAGGTTTAATTGAAAAAGGAGACTGGGTAAAATACATTGGTCATTTATTGAACACTAAAAGTTATTCAGAGGGCATACTCTGCACTTGTATATTGTGTGCCCGCAAGAGCAACATTAACCACTTACAAAGAAAACACCGTTTTAGGTTCCTTAGGGGTTTAAATAACATTTTTATTTCAATGTGACACAGACTAGCATAATAGGGTTAAAATGTTAATATTAGAATAATAGCAAGGCTCACTTACCTTGAACTATCAGTTCAAATGAGGCTTTTCTGATGATTCCTGCCATAGAAACCACACACTCGTACACTCCAGAATCTGAGTACTTCAGTTTGTCAAACTTTGGTGGAGCATTCAGTTTGGCATTGTTCTAAAGCAGAGTTTCAGTCGTTAGGAAATGCAAAACCTCAAAGTTGAGCACAATTTTGAATACAGTAGATTCTGGAAATCTATGGTTCATTTTACCTTTGACCAGGAGACTTGTGGAACTCCAACCGCATTGACCATTAATGTTGCCTCAAAGCTCTCATCTAAATGTTTAACAATCCTTCCTCTTGTTAGGTTGACGTCCAGATCTACAGCAAAAGATAAAAAAAACTTTGCTGTCATTAAATACTACTTGCTACATCCACATTCAACATCTTGTCCATTCATAACAATTCTCTGATTCCTTCAGTTAAGAAAATTATGACAAAATGATGACTTACACATAACTGTGATATTCGCAGAGTTTGCAATTGTATCATTGTCCACCAGGGAGCACTTGTATTCTCCCGTACTGGCCCGCGTGACACTGGTCAGCGTGTAGGTGTCTGAATTCTCTACTTTCACCTTTTTCCCCTGGAAAGACATAGGAATGTTTAGCAGGTCTCATCAGGGTCAGCAGAGAGCTCACCTTGCCTCTGGCAGTAGAAAAGCACTATATGATACTGAAGGAGTGAGCTGAAACCTCAGTACGAAGAGCCAGAGGTGTTTTCAGGCTGGTTTACCTTGATGTGGAAGCTATAGCTGGAGGGAGGTGGATTCCCATCAGCTTTACATTTCAAGGTCACATTGTCTCCCTCCTTGATCGGGTCTGCAGAAACGACCTGAAGGCTGACCTTCTCAGTGGGGTCTGTGGAGAGGAGAGGTGTGAAACTGGAGGGGGTAACTCAAAATGGAAGGCCATAGAAGGCACGAGGCTGAACAGATAAGGGCACTTCAGGGATCCTCATAATGTGAGAGGCTCTTAATCTCAAGAGAGAAGGTTTTTGGTGCGCTCCAGGGGTGAGGAGAGCTTTTGAGAGTAGCGATAGTGCCAATTCCCTCATAATCACGCCCTGAGGCTCCCAACAAAGCCCCATTCAACTTTCAATAGCCCTGCTCCACATCTGTTTGAATGCATTTCAGCCAGCCAGTAAATTCTGATAAGAGTTATCTGCATAGAAACCTCAAGTGGAAAAGGACCCACTCTGAATTACCCAAAACATTGTACTTAATTGGCACAATCAGTTTATTCACACTGATGCTACATATGTATATTCCTAGGTAAGTGTATATTATTACCATTATCAAAAAGACATGTTAAACAGGTTCAGTCCAGGAGAAAGACTTACAGTTAATGACAAAGATCACAGGAGCAGACACTAGGTCTGAAGCCAGGCTCTTATGCTGGACAGCACAGGCAAACTTAGCATTCAGGTCTTCCTTCACAGCAGCATACTCAAGTTTGGAAGATGTAGACGAGAGGCCGGTCGTTTTCTCTGTCTGCACAGTTGTGGTGATCTTGATCACTGAAATCACAGTATATTTATATATTGGCATGATAATAGAACTAACTCTATTTTGTATTTGTTAATTAATTTTTTTATTTACATCCTGTGAGGACCTCAAGATGAATGAACCATTAGAAAAGGCTCAAATGTCCTTGGAGTAAAATCTTGTTACATTGATTCACAATGTAAATAACACGGGTTTGTTAAATCAGCGATTGTATATTTCTCAGGATCCAGCTGTCAGTTCAACTTCAAGCTGCAAGGCTTCATACCTTTCTCATCAGCTACAAGTGGAATGTTGTTCTTGAACCATGTGATGTTAGCTGCAGGGTTGGCATCTTTAGTTGAACACTCTCCCAGCTGTAAAAATACAAGCAGAAGTGCTTAAAACATGTAATCAGAGTGCTTCAAACACATAATCTATAATAGTTTGTCAGAAAACTGTAACAGCAATACTACTTCAGAGAGCACATTTTTAAACAAAAGAACATTGCTTTAACTTTTTAAATTCTTACTTTTAATAACATAGAAGGACACAAAGTTTTTCAAAAATTGTGATTCCTTTGTATACGATCCCTAACCTAGAATAACCACATCCCACAAGACTATGTCTTTAAACACCACAGTGGTCATCAGGTCAATAACCCACAGAAGTGCTTTAATCAGCACTTGTGACCTCTCAAGTACAGGTTAATACAAAACATGGACCTAACATAATCATGGCCATTCTAAAGAAAGACTGCCCTTCTAAACCATGAAGCTGTCAATAAAATAGTACCCATGTATCTCACAATAGAAGGGTGGATTCATAATTATTGAGCCTGTGTGTTTGTAGCCATGTTGAATGATAGTGCTTCAGGCACTACCCCTCATACAGGGGTAAAGAAAAGAGCATTCAGTCAAAAGGATGATTCAAAGCCAACAATCAAAGGGGAATTGCAGGTTCACCATTTTAGACGAATTTTAAGTGGAGGGATTCTTTCAACACTGCTGTCCTGTTAGACTCTGCCACCTTTATTTCAACCTGAAATGTTTTTGTTCTACTGTTTTTTGGAAAGAAGCCACAATCAAACGAGAAAAAAGTCTTCTAAGTCTTCTTTGTAGATAGAAACCTTTGAGATTTATTAAAGTATATCTGTACAAACACCCAATAAGCAATGCAGATGAACAGAGAAAAACTCATTGTGTGTTTCTCACCACATTAGTGCAGTTCCTTGAAATATTATCAACAAAAATAACACATACTGTTGTTAGCTTTCCCATTTCCATTTTTGTGGCTTGATTGGTGATCATGGGAGCAGAGGGTGCCTCTATAGAAAAAGAACACAATGTTGGGATGCAGTTATATAAATGAACATAAATATACATTTACTTCAGCATATGGCTTACTGTTTGGTGTTAAAACAGCATACTTACTTTCAATTTTCACTTGAACAGGGTACTCAAATATGTCTGAGCCTATGACCACCATACAAGTGAAAATCTTCTGATCAGATAGTTTTGCTTGGGCAATGCGCAGACTGAGGTCCTTTGTAAGGCTTACTCTGCCAAAGTAATCCACATCTGAGGAGGCTGTGGCATTATGAGCCCCTGATTTCACCAGCAAGTCACCAGTGCTGCTGTCTGCTTTGGTCTGTGGAAAAGAATTCAACTTTTATTTTGCACGTGCTTGTGATCTAGAATATATTTATAAGAACTTCATATTTGCACTGTATAGTTGGAGAAAGTCACAACTAAGTACACAATAACTGGCTCCTACTTTTTTCTTTTGGCTTCATTAAGGAGGCAGACTATTAATTGGCATTAAACTTACATATTTCCATTTGGTTATGAAGATGTCCTCTGCCTTGGCATCCCCTTTGTTGCAAGGCACCTCAACAGTCTCCCCATACTGGCCAAATATGGTTTGAAGTCCACTCACTGGAGTAAATAAATAACAAAGACTAGTTAGGAACACTGAAAAATGAGAATCTCAGAGATTTCCAGATGAGGGACACTGAATGGAGCTCATGTGGCACAGAAGCAACTACATTACTCTAACGATATATAAGTTATTTATTAAAGTGTGATAATTAAAAGATGAAGAGATTATTCGCAAGTAGATAGCACAAGGGTTGAATGTGTCCCATAAAATTTGAATGCAATTTGGATCATGGTAAATGACCACACCTGGTTGTCAGGCAAAGCAGCAAAAAGTTTGCATATTCAAAGAAAGCTGAATGCAATAATGGTTTTAAAATGGGTATCAGACTAAGCTTTTTCCACATAAACAGCAAGAAAGTGCTGTGGCTAAATGCAACAAATCTTATGGTGTTGCAAAGATAGTTACATCATTTAGATGATCAAATGTCTGAAGTTTGACAAAGAGCCAGGCTGAATAATAAGCAGAAATAGGACAGGTATGGAAAAACAACCTGTCCTCCCCACAGAGAGAGATCTACACAATCACAGGGGAAATCAGACCTACTTCTTTTTCTTCCTTCCTCAATACCACTTTCTTCTGGAGATGAACATATAAGCCCTATGTTATTAAGCACTGAAAGTGGCTGTTGTAGAGTGAAATGTCCACAAAGATAAAACAGCAAATAACGTCCAGAGACCATGAAGCGTATGAGGACAACAGAAGCCATAGTACAATATTCGAGGACGGTCAAGCCACCTCAGTGGCGGAAATGAAAAGACAAAAACTTCAGAGGTTTAGGAAGTAAAGGTCAGTGAATGTCTTAAAATTCCAAGTTATGACAGCAGATGCACTATAAAACTTATGCTGAGTCATGGGTTTATTTTAAATTGTTTAAATGGTTAAATCATTTGAGTTGTCCCAAAATTGGAGTATTTTGGTTTTTTTAGTGCACATTACATCACATGATCTTTCATGTAAAATTTAGCTAACTACATTTTAAATATTAGTAGGTTTACAAGTTATGCATCTCTTAATCATACGCTTAATCATATGAAACATGAATATTTAAAATGTGCTTATGTGTATTTTTATACATTGATTACATTTCCTGAAACATTCAGGTATGCGTTGGAGATTCAGCACAACCAGTTCAACAGGTATGTCACACAACATACATCGCTATCTGTCGGAAACTGTTGATGGATGACTATTGCACATATACATGACCATATACTTGTATGTCTCACACACAGGACACACAAATGAATGGCACATACTTTGGACAGTATAAACCAACACACAGTCTAATAAACTAAAATTTGTTCTAAGTTTCCAAATACAATCGTTTCACAGTTGCCGAAATTACATGTTTACATGTCATTGCTTGAGGAAGCATACAGATGTAACCAAACCCTATAGAGATTGTAGGTCTGGTTCATCCTGTCAGTGATTGGGGATTTTTAAATTCAGAGATCTATCCGAAAATATGCAAACATGCTCCCCTCTCCATCCTTCAACAGTCTAAGAGACCTCTGTGCAGTGACTGTCTTTCTGTTGTGTGGAAATTCCTGACTGTGGTTTTAATTTCAATTTTTTTTTTCTTTTTTACATTTTTATCTCACATAGTAAAAAATACAAACATTCTAGGGCAAAACACTTTTTTCACTAACCAGTGTCTTATAAGTTATTCTTGGTGAACTGCCCCTTAACTCTTGTCCACCTCTATTTGTGCAAGGTGAAACTGGATCATGGACCATGAAACCAGCTTATACAGTTTGTAGCCTTTGCAAAGTGCATTTTTATCCAAAAGCACAAAACATGCCTGAACATCTGTTGCCAAATTCAAGAAGGATTCATTGCCCTGTTAACACATGGAATCACCTGTAATTCCCGCCTGCTGAACACACCTGACCTGTGCAGACTTGTTTCAAGACAGGTCTTAGTTCATGTATATGCTATACAACAAAAGCAGCTTACGACAGTCTTTGACTTTCTCTTGTATGCTTTACCAGCTAAGCCTAAGTTTCTTTCATTAGCAAATGATTATTTCTAATATCATTTCAACAATTTAATAAAGGATCAATAAATCAGTAGTACAATAAAGGTAGTTACATTTAGCACACACTGCATAAAATGTCAACGTAAAAGATATCCACATTTCATCACCTCTGAAGATTAAAAATGAGGTCAACGTATTACGAATCACATAAAAGTACACCTGAAGCGATTATCTTCTCTGAGCTAATTAAAGTCATAGATGCGATAAACTGAATAACTGAAAAGCTGATCCAACTTTTCCTTTTTTCGCTGTGTTCAAAGTGGCCATGGTTTGTTTGGATTGGTGTAGAGTGACGATAAAATGGGCAGAAGAGAACCTGTCGGAGCAGAATTGCTAGGCAACGGCTGTCTATTACCTACATGCGTTTATAATAGTCTTTCTGTTCCCTGGATGCCACAGGCAGCGATGCCCTAAAAGACCTGCTCTCCATCTAATCCCACTCAACAAACAAAGCACTCCATAACACCTACATTAGAGAAGAGAATGAACTCCAGATGAACACACAGACAGGGCAAGAAAAAGACAAGAAAGGGAACGCTTCGTCAAGGCTGACAACTGTGCACCAAATGAAGTAAACAAATGACTGTGATGCCCTCCTCCCTTTGTGCTTCATTTGGAAATTTCACACAAACAATAACAGTGCTTTACACAGGATTCTCAACTACTCATATGCAAAATAAAATATCAAAGCCCTTAACTAGTGCCACGATGTGAATGACACATTAAATCACCTCAGTGCTCCACAACACGTAGCAATATTTCATTAGGTAGGGACATTACATCGCCATTTAAATATCTCATGCTGGATTTTGCTGCTTCAGTGATTTATTGCAACAATGGATGATCTCATAAAGCTGAAGTTTCCAATTTTGACTAATTAAATATTTAAGGAAACAATTAGTTATTTGGATATTGATTAATAAATACATTAAATAATAATTTTTCAATAATGGAAACTGCTAGGCTGTAATAGACGGCCTTCCACAGGAAGGAACTGCTTTTAGGAAAAGACCGGATGTTCACTAACCATTAACCAGAGGGAGCATGAGACAGAACGATATCGCTGCGTGTATGTGTCTGTCTCAAATAAAGAGAGGTCAGATTCATTACAAGGTGCCACCATTTTCAACAGCCGACAGACAGCCCAGGAATTGATTTTGAGCCCACATTACTTCCCCAAATGTCCTCCTCTATTCAATCCAGCAAGCAAGTGCCATTAAAGCTCCTTAAAAATGCCATAAATTAAGCCAGCGAACATCCATGATGGGCTAGTGCTTCAAAAACAAAAGTCAGTGGGCAGGTTGAGGGGTAAGTGCACTCCAGAATCACATCCATTAAGTTCTAAATTATGGATTTGATGGGAGGGGCCCCGGGGGGCCTTAAAGGGTGTCTGAAAATGACAGGCCCATCATGGCGAACCCCAAGCCCAACCCCAAAGATCCAGCAACATCTCCTATAAACGAGCAGCCATTAAAGCAAATACAGAGAACCATTAACAAAATATAGCCAAGAAGCTTCCGTCAGTGTCCATTATCCTGTAATGCAATTTACAAGCTTCAGGTTATAACAGTGTCTACATTCTACTGTCTAGAGAAAATGTTCTGATTACCTCATTCTGCCAGTTATACACTGCAATAGGCAGCTTTATAGCTTTACTCACATTTTGATCTCAGATTAAACACAGTGAGCTATAATTACATCAGCATTTAATTTAGCCTGTAGCTATTTCTTATCCATTGTGTAATAATTTTCAACAGTATAATCATTTGTAATAGGGATAAACTGATATGGGACTTTTAGGCAGATGCTGATATGTGATGCTAATACATAAACTAAAACATAAAATTGAAACTAAATCTACCTTGATTAGCACTACAGAGAAACACAAAATGTATTTCTAGAGTATTAAATATGGAATAAAATGAATACAATGCAGACATTTTAGCATAGTAGCCTAGAGTCGCCTAAACGTTCTGCATTACAATAAATATGTCATCAAATATCAGTTTGAAATATTGTTCAAATTCAAACAGCTGTCCACTGCCAATAATTTTTTAAGGCAATTATCTGTCGGAACCAATGTGATTCTGAAATTATCAAATAAATGACCCCTTTTTTAATTAGGATTTTAAGGATTAGGATTTGTATACCTCCTCAGAAAACCTTGGCTTGAAATGTCAACCATTTAAGTTACAGCTATTGACAATTTAGCGACTTACCGAATATTCCAAGCATCAAAGTTCTCCTGTTGCCAACAGGGGCCTATCCTCAACAACCACTGCATCAGACAGCAAGGTGTTTTTCGCAAAGATTATGGCTGCTTCTTTATCTACCATGGATGCCTGCAGGCTGAGCAAATTTGAATTCCAGACCCTTTGTGTTCATAATATCAGCACAGGAAACAAGGAGGGGGCAGCTGCCGATCAGCAGCACTGGTGCCAAAACATGAAGGTCAGCTAACTTGTTTTGAGGGTTCAATAAGCCTTTTCTCTGGGATCAGCTTTGCAAACCTTTCATGAGAAAGCTGCAAAGGGCAGCAGTGTGAAAAAATAAACTGCCATTAGCTGCACAAACAAAAGCTGTGCAAATATCGATCTCCAAGAGATCTCCGGTGGGTGGGACAAACAACACATATGAAAGTCTTATGCAAAATGACGACGAAACAGTGGCATTCATAACACTGTCTTTTGTATGCTATCACTAACATTAACCTCTTCATATCTCATTCAGTTCTTAACGATTCCTTCACTATGAAGTAAGTTAGATACACAACCAAGCATGTTTCTGTTTGTAGGCTGTGCTACTGAAACCATGAGAGAGGATCCTGTTCACATTTCTGTGTGGTTTAAGGCCTGTCCAGAGCCAGACCTGCTAGAGGGGTCAAGCAGGTCTTAAGCTGCACCATGATCTGGCCTGCCTGAGGGATTCTGCCTGCAGAGCAGCATGTAAAAACAGCTA